TGCAGGGCACCAGCGTGACAGGGCTGTCTCTCCCGTCTTCACTTCCCAGCCGAGCTTGTCAGGAGCAGGGGTGGCGGAGGCTCTCCCAGCACTGCCCAGAAAAGAGCCCTCTCCCCTTTAAGGGAATATGTCGGTACCCTCTTAGAGACTTCTGGAGAAGGCAGGGCAATGCATGGGAGGAACCTGCATGACACCAAGGCAGAGCAGCGATGGGTAAGACCTAGGACCTCCTTTTTCTGAGCCCCCTAACCTGCCCTGGCCTCTTTCCCCCAGGAGGTCAGACCTTCGCTTGGGTGGGTGGGAGGAGGGAACGCACGGGTCTGCGGGGGGCCTGCAAAGTCAGCCAAGGGGAAGGTAATTGCTCCAGGTTCAGGCTGCTCGGCCTCAGCACCCCCGCGGGCCCTGGCCACCAGGGAAGAACCCGGAGGTGGGAACATGGCAGAGGCTCCCACAGGCTGCAGAGACCAAAGGAGACCCAGGCTCCTGGGCTGCCCTCCAGCTTCCCTGGCTGTAAGGAATGGAACTTGTTAGCCTCCCACCCACGCTATCTCTCCTGCCCTTGAACTTGAGATTCTGTCTTGGAGCCAGCCGAAGCCTGTTTACATTCCTTGCCCCAGGCTCAGGCTGAACCTACAGCCTTTTCATCTGCCATGCTCAGCCTGTGCCCTGGGCTGCTGGGAGCCGCTGCCTGGGGCCTGGGGGCTGGGGGCTGGGTGGGGGCTGAGGTTTTAAATGAGCCTCCTGCTGCAGGTCCTCAACCTCCTCCCTACACCCAGGGCAAAGCCAGGAGGGGAGCAGAGAGGAGCTGGCCAGGCACTTGGGTAAGTGCAGAGGTTCCCAGCAGATGTGCATTAGAAACTATGGTGACTGCGCCCTGCCCAGAGGTTTTGGTTTGATTGGTCTGCGTGCAGCCCAGGTGTCTGGTGGCTGACACTCCCCAGGTGATTCCACAGGCAGCAGAGGGGCTTCCTCAGACCTGTCCCCTCGCCTGTAAGCCTTGCAGCAGCGAGGTGGATATGCTGCCCCGGCCCGTGATTTCCTCCACTGCTCAGGGGTGGCCGGGGCTGAGGAAGGGGTGGCCACCCTCGGTTTAGGGAGGAAGGGCTGGCGTCTCTCTGGTCTTGCACCTGGGCTGCAAGTTCTGTCCAGTCTCCAAATCCTCTCCCCCTGCTGCCCCGTTGGAAGGTTAAGATAGGATTTAAAAGTGGGCTGATATACCCAGACCTCTTAAAACTCAGCAGTAAGAAAAACAAACAACCCAACTAAAAAATGGGCAAAAGACCTGAACAGACACATCACCAAAGAAGATACACAGATGGCAAACATATGAAAAAATTGCTCCACGTCATATGTCGCCCGGGAAATTCAAATGAGAACGATGAGAGCGACCACTACACACCAATTAGAATGGCCGAAATCCAAAACACCGACAACACCCAATGCTGGCGAGGATGTGGAAGAACAGGAGCCCTCGCTGAGTGTGAGGGTGGGAACGCGAGATGGGACAGCCACTTCGGAAGACAGCTTGGCAGTCACAAAACTAAACAATCACACTCTCACCATATGATTCAGCACTCGTGCTCCTTGGTATCTGCCCAAATGAGCTGGAAATGTGTGTCCACACAAAAACTTGTATGTGAGTGTTTATAGCAGCTTTATTCATAATTGCCCAAACTTGGAAGCAACCAGGAATGCCTTCAGTAGGGAATGGATTAAAAACAAACTGTGGTACATCCAGACAATGGAGTATTATTCAGTGCTAAAAAGAAATGAGCTATCCAGGCTGGGCGCAGTGGCTCACGCCTGTGATCCTAACACTCTGGGAGGCCGAGGCAGGAGGATCGGCTGAGCTCAGGAGTCCGAGACCGGCCTGAGCAAGAGCAAGACCCCGTCCCTACAAAAAATAGAGAAATTAGCCGGGCACGGTGGCACATGCCTGTAGTCCCACCTACTCGGGAGGCCAAGGCAGGAGGATCACTTGAGCCCAGGGATTGGAGGCTTCAATGAGCTATGATCACATTACTGCACTCTAGCCAGGGAGAGAGAGAGACCCTGCCTCAAAAAAAAAAAAAAAAAAAAAAAAAATGAGCTATCCCGCCATGAAAACATGTGGAGCAAACGTAGATGCATCTTGCTAAGTGAAGGACGCCCATCTGAAAAGGCTGTATGCTGTGCGATCCCAACTATATGACATTCTGGAAAAGGTGCAGCTAGGGAGAGACTAATGAGATCCGAGGCTGTCAGGGATGGGGTGGGGGAGGAACAGGAGAGCATGGAAGATTGCTAGGGCCTGAGCATACTCTGCGTGGTGCTGTGACAGTGGCTGCAAACACCTGTCAAAGCACACAGACTGTGCACGCCGAGAACGAACCCTGATGTGAGCCGTGGACTCTGGGTGACAGCAATGTGTCAGCGAGGGGTCACGGACTGTCACGAGCGTGCTGCGCTGGTCGGGGAGGCCGTGCACCTGGGGGAGGGGCACATGGAAAATCTCTGTACCTTCCTCTCAGTTTTGCTGTGAACCTAACACCGCTCAAAAGAATAAAGTTCATTTATCTTTTTTTAAAGCAGGCTCAGTTCCCAAAAGAAGGCCTTGGCCAGGTTTCTGAGCCCCGCCCCTCCTGGTGGACGTGACCACGGAAAATACTTAGCTGCGCTGTTCTTCTCTTGGCTCCTTCAGACAGGCGGTGACACAACAGAAGGGGACAGAGACAGAGAGGGGCTGGGACCTGGGCTCTCCCTGCACCTGCCTGTGTCCTACGGGCAGGACCCTGGTCTGTTTGGGCCTCCACCCACAAACTGAGGGGACAGCAGCACTTCTGACTGCCCATATTAAAAGTCTGTGGCACCTGGTTATTTACATGCTTGACTTTGAAACACCTACCTTGTTAATCTCAGCACGTCTGGCACTTTGGGCTGGCTCATTGCACGTGGCTGGGGCTGTCTTGTGCACTGCAGGATGTTGACTGGACTGTGCCCACCAGGCGCCCGTGGCCTGCCACCCTGCCCCAAGTCCTGACGGCGCCAGGTGTTCTCTGGGGAGCAAGACCACCCCCAGCCGAGAACCCCTGGCAGCAGGAACGCCCTGACCACGGAGCGCGTCAATCGCAGGATCATGCAGAGCAGACCGAGCTCGGGCACCGTGGTGGGCTGTCACTCCATCCAGGCAATTGCTCCTCTCAGAAACTTTGAAATGACCCCCATTTTGCAGCAAATCCCACCTGCCTGCTTAAGAGCTGTAAGCTATTTAAACTCTCTGTGCCTTCCCCGCTGTGAAATGGAAATATATTAATAACAGTGGCACTTCCTTGATGGGAGAATGAACGACAAACTCCGGGCCCAGGGCCGGAGGCACAGCAAGGGCTGTGAACATCCGCTCATGTGGTCCCACCGTCCGCTCAGGCCCTTGTCACAATGCATCTGTGTTCTCCCACCTCACGGCTGCGGCTGCTGAGGCCCGAGGTGAGCATGGGCAGGCGCGACTCCGCTTGTCGGGGCCCCTGCAGTCACAGCACGGGGCAGCCGGGAGAGGCGTCCTCCCTGCGTGCCCGCAGCAACCGGAACAGGCTCTGGGGGCTCCAGACTCCGCCCCGCCTCCCCCGTGTCCCAGGAAAAGACGAGCAGCAGCACGGTTCCTCTTCTGCATCTCACATCCCAATAAAATATTTATTATTTCAAGAAATAAATCTTTAAAAAAAGAGAGAGAAAAGAGTGTCTCTATTGCTTTCCCCACGGGTCAGTCCTTGGGAACCGCCGAGTTCTCGCAGTCCTGGCTTCGTGCGCGGGGCCAGCCTGGCCTGGAGGGGCTCGTCGTGGGGTGTCCAGCCTCGAGCCCCGCCCGGGGACCTGGCCCCCTCCACTACTCTCAGCGCCCTGGGGCTGCCTCCCTGGCAGGGCAGGGGGTGGTGGGTGGGTCGCCCGGGCAGGGAGTGGGGTTATAAAACTGGGGGGTGGCAGTGTTGGGAGCCAACCAGAGAGTCAGGCCTGGCTCTGGGCACGGGGTGGAGGGGAAGGGGCGTCCTGGGGCCGGGGCAGGCATGCCACACAGAGAGGGGCAGTTGGATCTGGAGGTGGTTTGAGGCTGCGTCGTGGGTGCAACACTGATGGGGTGGTGGGGACCTGGGGAATAGTGGCCGGACAGCTGGGAACTGGGCTGGGCGTGCCATGGGCTGAAGCTCTGTCCCAAACCCTTATCTGCAAACAATCTGGGGGCTGGGGCAGTCGGCACCTGCGGGGGGGGGGCATGAAGGACACCCTCAGGCAGGGGTCCCACAGCCTGTTCTCAGAGGCTGGGGTGGAAACCGGCCCCTTGGAAACAAATCCAGGGTCTGGAATCGCAGGTCATGCCGGGATGGGTTTTGGGAGAAGCCCAAATGAAGAGAGTTGGAACAAGCAGGAGAGGGAAACAATTCAACCAGGGTTGAGGTGGCCCCCCCACCCCTAACTGTGACCCCCCAAGTGCAGAGCCAGGGTGGGGGAATCGGGAAATCAGGAGGGAGAGGGAACAGAGAGGGTGGGGCTGACAGGAGACATGGGCAGGGGCCCCCGGCCCGGCCCCCCTGTCCACACCCCAGCAACTCCAGAGGGCCAGCCCCGTGCACGGCTTCCCTCACAGGTCCCCACCCAGAGCAAAGGCCCAGGTCTGCTCCCCAGGGCTGTGGGGTGTCCTTCCTTGGGCCCTTCATGGAAATGGGGCAGCAGCCCCTCCTCTCCCTGCCTGTTGCTGCAAGCCAGCAGGCCCTGTCCGGGGCCCTCTCTCCATCTGCTCCAGATCTCGCCTTACGCAAAGCCAGGGGCCTCTGACCACCGCTCCTGGGCCAAGGGGACCCTCTGACCAGCCCACCGTCTGCTTGGCCATGATGCTGCCACGAGTCCCCAGGATGGGAGCAAGGAGCCTGCCTGGCGGTGCCAGGGGCTCAGCGGTGCTCCCCGCGTTCTGCTCCCACGCGCGGCTCTCCTCTGTCCAGGGAGGAAGCTCCCGCCTGGGGAGGCGCGGGAGGGCAAGTGGCCGGAGCGCGGCATCTGCTGGTGCTTTCTCCTGCGGCCGGGGAGGCTCGGCGTGGGCGCCCGGCAGGGTGGCCTCACAGGCAGCCCTGGCACAAGGCCACCTGGCCCTTGCGGAAGTCGCGGCAGGGGCAGAGCCGGTGGTACTTGGTGCTGGAGCCGGCGCAGCTGAAGAGCAGCGGCTCCTTCTGCAGGTAGCACTCCTGGCCGGGCTGCGCGAAGGCCGGGTACAGGTGGTTCATCTCCGACTCGGTGCTGTCGCAGGGCACCTGCAGCCTGGCGGGTACCACACGGTGTCATCGCTTGGGATAGAGGTCCCGGGCAGGATGGAGTAGGGGCTGCCCCCAGCCTGCTCCCGGCGCCCTGGCCAGTCCCCACCCCGGACCAGGGAAGGAGATGGGTTACACCTGCGGTCCAGGGACCCTTGGTGAGGACGGGAGGGGCCTGGCCTGCAGGGGCTGGGGTCCCAGGCTGACCCAGCAGGAGGAACACCTGGGTGGCCTTCGTGGTCTGGGGCTAGAGCCTGCCCAAGCAACCAGGTGGGGGCTGAGCGGGAGCGGGAGAGAGCAGAGGTGGAAGGAGTGTCCCCCTGGTGGTTTTGGGCTTTGCCAAGACTATGCAAACCTGGTGGGTTTTGCAGCCGTGACCAGGACAACAACCTGGAGGGTCCCGGTGGATCCTTCCTGACTCACTGGAAAGTAGCACCCCCCTACCCCCCAGTGCTGGCAGGGCTCCGGGAGGGAGGGCTCAGGTGAGCCGGGCCGGGCCGGCAGCGGGCAGGGGCTGGCACTCACTTGAGGAAGGCGTCCCGGCCGTTGAGGAAGGGGAAGAAGGCGGGCTCACACACCAGCCCGTGGTCCAGGCAGGCGTCGGTGCAGGCCCTCCCGGGGGCAGCCAACCAGGCCCGCAGGGAGTGTGCCAGGGGCCAGGCCCCGGGGGCTACGCTGGCGTTCCGGGCCCACTCCAGGTGGGTGGCGTTTGGGGCCAAGACGAAGGGGCTCTGCGGGGCGTGGGCGCCTGGCGGGGCGGGGCCTGGAGCTGCGCAGAACTCCTGTAGGGAGGAGCGTGGTGGTAGGGAGGGGACACGGGCACAGAAGCCCCTGGGTGACACCGTGGGCAGGGCCCTTCAGGTGCAGTGAGAGCCCCCACTGTTGGGCGCCTGCTGAATACCAGGTAGCCTCACATGCCTTGCTCATCTATTCCAACGCTCACTGGGCTCTCTGCAGGGAGGAGTGGGGGCTGCAGTCAAGGACCCTGCCCATGGCCTGGAGGCCGGATGGCGGAGGGGGGATTTGGACTTGGGCCATCTGCTGGCTGTGGCCCCCGCGCTGCCTTGCCGCTCGGGTCAGGCTCTGGGTGTCTAGTGGGGCCTGCAGCCCCACCCACAGTGGGGACAGGGCCCCAGGCCCCCCGTGGGGGTCTTCCTGCAGCGTCAGCTCCAGGTGCCACAGGGCCCAGCAAACAGTTTTCTTCGAGCCTCATGACAGACGTCCCCACAGGCCACAGAGCCCTGGGTGCTGGCCCCGGCCCTGGCCCCTCACACTACGGCCCAACGTGCCCTCCCATCTGGGGGTCTCCGCATTCCTGTCCGTAAAGCAACAGGGCAGAACCAGCCTCTCTCAGCCCCTAACATTCATGGGGTCGGGTGCAAGGTAGGAAGGGAGGCCATGTACCATCTGTCGAAATATCTAGTAGCTACAGGACAGCCTGCCCAAGACCCCGAGGCCCAGGGGCGTCCTTGTAGGCATCCCGCTGGAGACCTGGAGCCTGACGGGCGCGCCCTGCCTGGGCCACCTGCGACCCTCCTGCCAGCTCAGATGCGCTGGGCAGGCGGGGTGGGGGGGTACTCCTGGGTCGAGGCACCTGGCAGGACGCCCCCCCTCTCCCGCCCACCACCCACAACTTCCAGGAACTCTGAGGCCCCCACCTCCACCAGGCGGAGAAGGGAGTGCAACTTCTGGGACACCTGCCTGCCCGGACACTCACTCGGGGGTTAGGGTGGCCGAGCTTTCGCGGCAGTGGGCTGTCCCCCGGTTTCTCAGGGCAGAGATCTGAACCCCCCACCCCAGTCTCACCAACCATCTGGGGAGAGGGGTAAGGGGGCTGCTGCACTTCCCATTCGCCCAGTCGAGTCACCAAGCCTTCCAACGGCTCTTTTATAAGAACAAAAGTCTTTGTGTTTCCCTGTTTGTGCTAAAGGCTTGGGGGCTCTAAAGCTGGGCCCGGGGGCAGCGCCGCTTCCCACTGACACCCAGACGCCGCTCCAGCCCCGAGGCAGCCGTGAGAAAGGGTCCCCGAAAGCCTGAGAATAGGGGGCTGGAGGGTCTGATGGGCACAGGGCCCTGGGCAAATGGCGAAGCAGCTCATCAGCCCCTCCTTGGGTCTGACGGGGTTTGGGGTGGGGTCCCCGAAGGCTCACCTACCTGGTGCTGGATGTAGGCGTGGATTCGCTCCAGCATCCCCTCACAGGTGTACTCGTAGGGTAGGTAGGGGTCTACCTGTGGGAGAGACGGCAGACACTGGGGAAGCCGCCCGGCCCTCTGGCCTTCCACTCAGCCCAGAGCACGCCCTCTAGCGGCCCCCAGAGACTCAGGCCCCCAGAGACTCTCCCTGCCCCCTCCCCACCGACTGAGCACAGAGCTCAGCCCCCATCCTCTCCCCTGCTCTGACACCTGCTCTTCCTGTGCCCCCGCCCTTAGACGTCTCCTACCCCAGGGGGCGGGGAGCCCCACCCCTCCTGTCACAGGACCACTTTCCTTGGTGGCTCCTGGCACCCCAGACTTCCCCCCCACCCCCCACATAGGACTAGCACCTGCGTTATCATCTCCCATTTATTCCTGGTCTCTCTCATGAGCTCACGGTCCCCTGGAAGGTGGGGACTACGGCTTGTTCACTACTGAATGAATCCCCGGTGCCTGGCACAGTGGCTGGCACACAGTAGGTGCTCAGAAAATAGTCGTGGAATTTCCCCAGCTCTGCCTACATCCTGCCCAAGACATGGAATGTTCACGCAAAGGAACGCGGGGGCATCTGCCAGTCGGATGGAATGAGACGACATGTGAAAAGTGCCCCGGCCGGGCACTCGGGAGCTGGTGAGATACACACACCCCCACACACGCCCCCAAACGGAGGCCATGCCCTCTGACCCCCTCACTGGTGAGGAAACCACTGACCTGCATGGGCAGAGACCAAGGTCAGGACACAGGAATGACGCACCCCAGCCGCAGAGAAAGGTCTGTTTTAGCTTTCGACCTCCCCACCCCAACACACCTGGTGGCACCCCCACCCCCACCCCCCGGCCCAGCCCACCTAGTGATGCCGTTTTCCTGCCAGCCACTCCAGAAACCCATGTCTGGCCCGGGGGTGAACTCCGACGGTCTTGCTCAAGCCTGCAACCACCGCTCTGTTCCCCGTCGGGATGGGGAACGTCAGGAAGTCCAATCGGGCCACACCGGGTCCTGCTGCCTGGGACCCCACCCCTCAGGGGTCCTGTCCTAGGCCTTCTGGCCAAGGGGACATCCCTGACCCTCGAGGGTCCCAGGGAAGAAACAGACTTTGATCCCCCTGGAGCTAGCTGGTCCCGGCCAGCTGAGCTGATTTGGGGGATTTGACCTTGTCCCTGGGCTGATGTCACCCGGCACTGTGAGTGGGTGTTCTCCATCCTGGAGCAGTCCCCGAGTCCCAGAGAATCCCGGGGTCCTGCTGCAGCCACCACCCACATCCTGCCCTCTGCTCCGCACAGGCCGGCCCCAGCCTGCCCTCCTTCCCGAGCCCATGGCCCCAGAGGGCCCTGGCAGCCAACTGCTGCCCCAGCCACGTCCCCAGACACACAGGACAGAGTCCGGGGGGGCCTCTGGGCCCCCACACACCTCTGGGGGTCTCGTGGGGACAAGGCATGAAACCCAGGCTGTAAATAAAGCCCCCAGAGACGAGATCTTCCCCTCCAAATATCGCTGCCCTACTCCACGACAGCAAGTCTCCGAGCGGTTCCCCTATGCATTTGGAGCCTTGTCACAAGGTAGTTCAAGGCCCCGTGTGGGGGGTGGCTCCCAGCCCGCAGCACAGCCCGCCATGCATCTCCTGTGGGGAGCCAGCCTGCCTGGCCTGGCCGTCACCCCATTAGGTCTAATTACGGGTGTGCGCTGTAATCAGTCTCGACAGAATGACAGGTGCGGGTGCTGGCAGCCTGCGGGATGACAGTGGGGAAGGCATGGCGGGGCGGGCGTTGGCATCACCTTGAAGGACTTGCTGTGGACAGGAGGTGTCACGGGCAAACCCCAGGGGGCCCAGAGATAGTGGGAAGGGCACCCGCCCCTGGTCCTCCCCAGTTGTCGGGCTGGGGGCCGGCTGGGCTGGGTGTCGTAAGCTTTTCTCTTCCCACCTTTCTCCCTCTCCCTGTAAAAGGCCTCGTGACTTGCAGAACCAGCCACTGTCCCTGACGGTGGCCCTCATTCGCTCTCAGGCTACACTAGCTGTCCCTAAATCTGTCTTTTAAAATAGGATTCTTAGAATTACCCAGAGTGTTTGTTTAAGATGCAGATTTCCAGGCAAACCCAGTCCCAGTAAATCAGAAGATGGAGGAATGGCCCGGGAATCTGCATTTAAGCAACGTCCTGCTGGATTCTTGGGCACTCAGATGTCTTGAGCCTCTCTGAGCTAAAAGGAGATGAACTGAGAGGGGTGGGGTCACAGAAGGGAGGGGCCTTGAAGGCAGAGCTCAGCTTGTGGGATTTGCAACACCTTGGTTCCTTGATCCTTTTGTTATTGTTATTTTTTAATTAACTAATTAACAAAATTAAACAGATGTTCATGTAAAAAAAAAAAAAGGGAAAATAATGAAAAGGAAGTTTCCTCCCACCCCAGACACTCAGCCCCTTCCCCAGGGCAGCCACGGTTATTAATTTCTTGTGTTTCCAACCAGGAGTAGCCGTGACTGTCCGGGCACCTTCGCCTGCACGGCCTCCCCTCCACCCCAGCCCGTGACAGAGGACACGTTATCCACAGGGTGGGGTCTCCCTCATGCAGCTTCGCACTGTGTCCTGGCGGTTCGGCCAGGGCCCTGGGGATGGGGACAAGCGTCTGGGTCTCCAGCCCTGAGCCAGCCCCTGAGCACGAGGAGACCTGGAGGGTGGGTGGCTTTGCAATGGGAGGGGGAAGAGGAAGGGGAGGGGTGAGAGCAGAGGGAGGGAGGTTGAGAAGTGGGGAGAAGGAGCCAGATGAGAGCAGTATGGGGGGAGGGCTTCCCGGGGCCCCTGTCCCTCTGTCCCACCCCTGTGCCTGGCCCCCCACGTAGCATCCACCTGGGAGGCAGCCAGCTGGGACTAGTCAGTTTCCAGCAGTGACACTGAGCAGAGTTAACCCCACTGGCTTGTCTTCCCTTGGCGCCCAGGCCCCTCCCCGAGGCCTCTTTCCCGGCACTGGGAAAGAGGCCCCATTTTAGCCCATAAACCGGTAACAAATCAAATGCCTGGCCCCGTGACCTGGGCCGAGGGGCCGTGACCTCTAGCCCCATTTTAGCCCATAAACCGGTAACAAATCAAATGCCTGGCCCGTGACCTGGGCCGAGGGGCCAAGTTCCTAGTTACCTGTGCTTCCCAAGGCCTTGCCAGAAGCCCCCAGCCCAGGACAGGGCCACACTGGGCTGAGGCCCCCTCCCGATCTCCATCCAAACCCACATCTCGCCAGTGCTTCGCTAGGGCCCAGCATTACAAGGTCAAAGTCAAATAGCCCCTCGCGGCGGCAGGTGTCATCACCTGTGACTCTCCACCTCTGGCCTGCTCGGTCCGTGCAAGGGGCAGGCCAGCAGTACTAGGAGCTGGCGTGCCCTGACACAGGCCTCAGCCACGCCCGGTGGGCAGGGCAGCTCTGGGACGGGACCCACCCCATCCCCAGGGGCAGCGGTGAGCTCCGCCTGCTTGGTGACATGCCCAGCTCCTTCCTGGGGTCACTGCCCAAATAAACTCCTTGTGCTGAAACCCTGGTCTTCGGGTCCCCTCCTGGAGGAATCCGCTCTCAGACAGTCCATGACCTTGAGGAACAACTCACAGTGGAGGAGGTCTGCTCAAGCTCATGCTTGAGGGGACGGTGGAGGGACCCTCACTGCCGAAGCTGCGTTCGGGGTGTGGCCACTGTGCGGACACCCGGCTGTGCCCGTCACAACTAAAGACGAGTGCTGTGACCCCGTGACATTCTTCTTGGCACTTTCACGGGAGAAATACTCACCCAGACACAGGAGGGCAGGACGGGGCTGTGTCTATCAGTAAAGGAGCCGACGGAGGGACTTCCTGGAGCCATTTGCCAGAGGGGTGGGTAGGCTAAGGCACCGGGTCCTGATGCATGGAACGCAGGCAGGTGGCTTTTAAGACGCACCCCTGCCTCAGGCTAGGGACAGCCAGGCAGGACTCCGGGCCCAGAGCCAAGCCCTTAAGACCCCATGGAGGCATCTGCCCCTGCCAGCCTCCGCCCGAGAGCTCCCCTGGGGTAGCAGACACAGGACGCAGCGCCGTGTCCTCCCTGGGCCTGGCTCTCCTGCAGAAGGAACCTGGCTCTCGTGTCCCTCACGTGCAGTGGCCACTGCTGCAGTCAAGGGTCTGCCGTAGACCCCGAGTTCACCCATTGGCACGCCCTCTCAGGCACACTCTGGACAGTGGTGTTGGGCAGGGAAGGGGAGTGGAGTTTTTGCCCAGTGGCGTCTGGTCTACAGCAAGAGTGGGTCCGGGAGCATCATGGTGAAGGGAGTATGATTCGCCAAGTCTCACGCCTGCCCAGAATGCAGGCACCAGCTTCACACAAGGTGCCATCAAAGCCACAGTGGTGCCCACCTGGGACATGAGCCCCTCCTCCCTCTCACCCAGCCCACACGCGTGCACCTACGCACACAGACACGTGCCCTCGCTGAAGACTCAAAGTGTTCTACTGCCTTGCTACTCACAGGGTGGCCCCAGGGCCAGCACCATTGGCACCACCCCGGAACTCTAGAAATGCGAGCGCGTAGCCCCACCCAGGACTGGCTAAATCAGACCTTGCATTTTAACAAGATCCGAAGGGTCTGGTACACACTCTAGTGTGACATGTGCTGTGAAAGGCTGCAGGCCCACACCTGAAGCACAAAGAACCTCCACACATACTCATCCTGAAAACATCCACTCAGCACCTGGCCCTCGAAGGTGTTCAGTAAATGATTCCAGATCCAGGGCTGCCATGGAAGGTTGTACAGGTTGCCCACTGCCCAAAGGCATTCCCCGCACGTACACGCCCGAGCTGATGAATGGGGGCTCCTGTCTCACTCCTCGATCCATATGCTCCGGCCCAGCGCTGTGTCTTACCAGGGAAGGGGTGGGTGCCTTTGCCAACCCAGGCCTGCAAGCCTGAACTCACCCAGACGGGCACTGCTTCCTAATTATAAAGACACACTGAATGGACTGGACCCGAATGGTCTCACCTGAGTTCTCATGATGGCCTTGATGGCTGCTTCAAACTCCTCTGAGTTGTTGTAGTCGACGGTCCACACGTGGGGCTTGCCAATGAAGTTCTCCGCGTAGGGATGCTGGGAGAACACCTGGCCGGGCGCAGAGACAGCTGCTCCCCGTGCCTGCGGCTGGGCTGGGCGGCTGCCCCGCCCACGTCCCCTCTCTCCCTCTGCCCCGTCCCCAGCCCCCCTCCTCCGGGAACTGCAGGGGCTGTGTCCTGGACCCTCCTCATCGGCTGGCGGCGTTCTCCCACTCACCTCCCTGGAGGTGGGCTTGCCCCGGAAGAACTCGTGGTTGAGCGAGCTGTGGGGCGGGCTGAAGCGGGACTGCAGGAAGACGCAGCCGTTGGCGATGGCCTCCAGGGGCGCGGGGCCCTCGTAGGGGAAGCCAAACCCTATGAAGAGCTGAAGAAGTCAAGGGGCGCAGTGGTCAGGGGAGGCGGGGCCGCCACTGCCCAGGAGCCCCAGGAGGGCAAGGTTAGGGGCTGGGACATTCACAGAAGGCAGCTGGGCCAGTAAAGACAGCCCAGACCCTCTTGTGCCCTGGGCAAGCGCCTCCCCTGTCTGGGCCTCGGTTTCCCCTTATATGAAATACGGGAATGACTGGATGTTACCCATGGCCCCTTCCTGCTCTGGCAGGCCACGGTTCTGGGGTGGGGGAGGGAAGAGCGATGGTTTCAAGCCTAGAAAGTTGCAGACCCACACCTGCAACAGACCCCAAAGAACCTCCCTCCCTCATCCTAAAAACATTTATGCAGCATATAACTTGTGCTGGGAGCACTCACAGGGCTGGCCCCTGGAAGGCGGTTAATCAATTGTTCTGCATCTAGGGCTGCTATGTGAGGTTGTGCATGTTGTTCACTGTGCAAAGGTGTTCCTCACCCCCAACACACACACACACACACACACACACACACACACACACATCCAAGAGGCCCGAGGAAAGAAGCTATGAGGAGACCAGGAGCAGGCTTGGAAGCGGGCTGGAGACCCTCCAGCCTTAGCTGATACTGCAGGGCCCAGCAGTGGGTTATGCCCAGTGTGGCAGTGGCCGCTCAGAGATACAGCTCAGGGCCACCCAGAAGCAGTTGGTCAGGACTAGTGGCCCAATGGAACTCTAGCCAGGACCCTTCCCTCAGCCTCAGTGGCTCTCGAAGCTGGGCCTGGCCCCTTTGGGCTGGACTGGTACTGAAAGGGGACACGTGGGCAGCCCATCCCCCTACCCCATCTCTGAGCCATGGCTCTGCCAGCCCTGCCAGGTCCCTCTCACTGCAGGGCCTCCTCTGCCCGGTGGGCACCCCTGTCTGTGCCCCTGGGTGCCGGCCGCCCCCAGGAGGACCAACATGGGACTCAGAGCAGCAGAGCATGCTGGGGTACGCCCACGTGTGGAAAGTGCCACCAGTGGCGGCAGCAGCCTGGCGTCTGTGGGCAGGAGCGGGGAGCATGGAGCGGGGAAGGGGCGCCACCTTGGCCTTGCGCAGCAGCTGCTGGAACTCGGGCTGCGGCAGGAGGCCATGGTTCTTCACGAAGGCTGGGACCTCGGGGGGCCGCTGGCTCTCGTAGTACACGGTGCCGTGGACCTCCATGTACTTGCTCAGGATGCCCAGGAACTTCTCCTTGCCCTGCAAGGGGAGGGGAGGGAGGTGGGAGCCGCACCCCAGTTGTGGAAGGCAGAGTCAGCAAAGGACGTGCCCTTGGCCCGGAGGTCAGAAGATGTGGGGCGGGTCTCAGGCTGGCCATTAACTAGCTGTGGGTCCCGGGTGCCAGGCCCCGCTCCTCTCTGACCCTCCATCTCTTCATCTGTGAGTTGCGAAGGTTGGACTAGAGCAGAGGCTTCAGGATTGCTTTCAGCCATGGAACTGTTTTCTTTCAAGAAACCCTACGGGGACCAACATTTAAATGGACCCAGGTGGAGCCACTTGGCCTCCCCTGAACCTTAATGACCTCTGATAAGTTGTGGAGTTCTCTGGAGCCCAGACTGTCCACCCATCCCTCACTCATCCCTCCACCCACCCATCCGCATATCCCTCTATCCCTCCACACATCCTCCTTCCATCCATCCATCCCTCCTTCCATCCCAAGAGGGGGAACCCTATAGAAACTCATGTTTTGGTTGGAACTCAGAGGAATTAAACCCTGGAAAAGAGGGTGGAATAGAACTAGACCAGCTATTGTAGGACCTGAATTCATTTTAAATCATCTCAACCGCTATGCTGATTACAGTAATCCAGGATTGCCAGAGCCCCCAGCTACAAGCCAAGAGTAAAAGCAAATGCTTTCTGGAAGAAAACAGTGTCATCCTTGACCTTAAATTATTTCTATAATTTTTCATATCCATTTTCTAGAACTCAAAAAAAAAAAAAAAGTAACCAATGAAATGCCACTCAAAATCCCAGCAGGTTGGTTTGGTTCTTGTTTTTTGTAGAAATTGATAAGCTAATTCTAAAATGCATTTGGAAATGCAAAGGACCTAGAATAGACAAAACAACTGGAAAAAGAAGAACAAAGTTAGCAGATTTATATCACCTAATTGCAAGACTTACTATAAAGCCGGAGTAATCAAGACAGCAGGGTATTGGCACCAAGATAGACAAATAGATCAATGGAACAGAATATAGAGTCCAGAAATAGACACACACGCATGGTCAATTGATTCTTGACAGAGGTGCACAAACATTTCGGTGGAGGATGAACAGTTTTCTCAACAAATGGTCCTGAAAGATTGGATATCCATACACACAAAAAAGAGAAAGAACCTCAATCTATACTTCATGTTCTATGTACAGGTTAATTCGAAATGGATCAAAGACTGAAATGCAAAACCTAAAACTATAAAACTTACACAAGAAAACAAGAGAAAAATCTTTGTGACCTTGGGTTAGACAAAGATTGCTTAGACACAACACCAAAAGCACGATCCATAAAAGAGAACACTGGACTTCATTAAAACTAATAACTTTTACTCTTTGAAATACACTGTTAAGAGAAGACAAGCCACAGACTGTGAGAAAATATTTGCCAAGCATATACTTAATAAAAGACTTGTATTGAGATTATATAAGGAACTCTAACAACTCACAGTAAGAAAATAACCCAGTTTTTTTTTTTTTTTTTTGAGACAGAGTCTTGCTTTGTTGTTGCCCAGGCTAGAGTGAGTGCCGTGGCGTCAGCCTAGCTCACAGCAACCTCAAACTTCTGGGCTCAAGCAATCCTGCTGCCTCAGCCTCCCAAGTAGCTGGGACTACAGGCATGTGCCACTATGCCTGGCTAAATTTTTGTATATATATTATTTGGCCAATTAATTTCTTTTTATTTATAGTAGAGACGGGGTCTCTCTCTTGCTCAGGCTGGTTTCAAACTCCTGACCTCGAGCGATCCGCCCCCCTCAGCCTCCCAGAGTGTTAGGATTACAGGCGTGAGCCACTGCGCCCAGCCACCCCAGTTTTTAAAATGCAATTAATTTTAATTTTAAAGGCAAATTAATTTTAATTTTAAGGCAATTTAATTTTAAATGCAATTAATTTTAATTTTTAATTTTTTTTTTGAGACAGACTCTCACTCTGTTGCCCAGGCTAGAGTGCCATGGCGTCAGCCTAGCTCACAGCAACCTCAAACTCCTGGGCTCAGGCGATCCTCCTGCCTCAGCCTCCCGAGTAGCTGGGACTACAGGCATGCGCCACCATGCCCGGCCTAATTTTGTCTATATATTTTTAGTTGGCCAATTAATTTGTTTCTACTTTTAGTAGAGATGGGGGTCTCGCTCTTGCTCAGGCTGGTTTCGAACTCCTGACCTTGAGCGATCCTCCCGCCTTGGGCTCCCAGAGTGCTAGAAGGCAAAATTTTTTGAAAAGACACTTCGCCAGAAAAGATATCTGGAAGACAAGCAAGCACACAGAAACACCTAAAACACCTTCCACGTCCTCAGTCATCAGGACATGCGAATCGGAACTCCAGTGAGATGCCATTCCACGCCGGCCACGGAGGCTGGAAAGCAAAAGACTGACCACACCACGCACGGGCGAGTCTATACAGGACTGTGAACTCCCACACGTTGAGGGTCCGACCGTGAAACGCAACGACCGCTTTTCTTAAACAATAGGCCCGGCCATTCCACTCCCGCGCATTCACGGACAGAAATGGAAGCAGACTTCCGCACGAAGCTTTGCTCCCGAACCTAGAAAAGCTCGGCAGGACCCCCTGAGTCGCAGTTTATCTGCGGGTTGCCGCCTGGAGCTGGGGAGCTACGCGGTGGCTCACCCAGAAGACGCTGGGAAGGCCTGGAATGTTCCCTCCGGTGGTGAGGACGGGTTTGCCCTGGACTTGAACCAGCTGCTTCCCCCTCCGTACTGCGTTCCCTCTGTCCCCCACCCCACGCCCTGGGACGACACTCTAATCAAACAGCATCTAAGTCCCAGACCCAGAATGAGACGGGCCTGCCAAGCACAGAATCACCAAACACCTCGCCGCCCGGCTCTGCGCCTGCTCCCCGTGAAGATGACGAACGGCCTCCCCTTCTCCCGCCTCCGCCCCTCTGCCACCTGGTCCCCTGAACTCTGGGCGGCACTTGTCTCAGGATGCTGCTCTCGTTTTTTTCTCTTCACCCGGTCGCCTCCCACCGACATAGGTTACAAACACCAGAGCAAAGTTGTCTTTTTCTGGAGGCAGCTTCTTTGAGGTCTCCTGCTGAGCAGAGTTGCTCTGGGCTGTCACAGAAGTTCCCGGGCCAGAGACAAGACCTTTCTCTTCCCAGACTTCACACCCTCTCATGCTCCCAGGGCGGTTTCTTACTTAAGAGGGTTTTCTGGTAAAAGCAGACACTGTGTTGCTCGGTCACCCTCCAACCCTGCCCTCCCCTCCCCCCACGCCCGTGCACAGGGCTTCCCGGGCCTCCCCGGCAGCCAGCCGTGGCCATGGGCACGCGGTGAGCATCACCCCCAGCACCCCTGCACCCTCCATGAGCTCCGGTGTCTCAGCAGAGGTCTGGGACCTTTGTCCCTGCTGCCAAGGCTGCTGTCTGCCACTGTCCGAGGCTTCGTGACCCTGGGGGGCTACGCAGCGTGGGGCCTGGGCGTCGGGCTCTGCACTTGCACGGACGGGGCAGGAATGCCAGCGGTGCACTCACGCGCCATGGGCTCGCCCGCGCACCTGCCGGGCCTTGGCGTCCTCGTCGGTGGGCGTGATCGCGGGTGGTTCCCACCTCGCGGTGTGCAGGTGACATGGGAAGATGCATGTGCTGCCATGTCACAGCGCAGACTGTGAGGTGTCCCCCCCCTCGCGTCTCTCTCCTCAGTTGCAGAACCCAGAACTGAGCTGAGCACAGCTGAGCCGAGCCTCGTGGAACAGCCACTTCTCAGCGCCCTCACGTGACCGACATAGAGCCGGCCCTGAGTGCCGCGCCCGGCTCTGCCCCTCCTTCTCCTTGCTGGCAGGAATGCAGACGTAGTGACTTATATGACGGTGGCCGTCTGGAACACTGTGGCCAGACGGGACAGGAGCTAACCGCGGCAGGTCAGCAGGGTAGGATGACCCTGCGAGCTCCACACCAGCCCTGGACAGGCCACCTCCAGAATTTGCAAACAGGAAGAAAAACATACTCCTGCCTTGTTGGAGTCACTATTATTCTGAGTTTGCCCACGACAGCTGGACCCAGTGCTAACCGGCACAGCTGCAAGGTTTACGGGATACGACGACCACGCACCAGGCTTGATGCAGGGTACGGACGCCACCCAGTACACGCTTCCCATGACCAGCATGCTTACTAGGACCTTGACCTCGTGCCACCTGCCTCTTGCCAACGACCTGTCCTGCTCTGGTCCCGCTCGTCCCCGGGAGCCGCCCTGTGGCCATGCCAAGTGGGACCTCAACCTCCAGGGTCCTGCCTGCCCTCACAGAGGGACCCGGGAAAGACTGTGCCTTGGATCCCACTGTCCCCACCACCCCCTCCCCCCCTTGGTCCACCCACAGGAGCCACAAACCCCAGAGAGCCCAAAGTCAGGGGAACATGGCCAGGGGAGACTCCCGCCCCCTGCCCCAGGTGGCTGCTGGGGAGGGGAAGGAAGGGGCAGGGAGGGGAGGGGAGGCCCAGGGAGCGAGAGGCAAACACTTTCCATACCTGGAGCTGCCTCGTGGCCAAGGAGAGCAGGGAAGAGAGGAGAGAGAGCAGGTTAGTGACCGGTTAGCAGGCAACGTCCCACGCAGGCAGCTCTCAGGACCCCCAGCCCCGAAGATGGGCTTCTAATCGCTAAGCCCTGCCGGCCTCCCTCTGCCCCTCACCCCACAGAACCCCCAGTCCGGCCTAAGCCCCCTTGCTGGGCTGGCACCGTTTACTGATCCACTCCTTGGGAGGGTGGAGGCTTTAGGCCGAGTCCTCCCCCCATTGAGTCATCCCTTGAGTTTACCGCAGCGTCTGGGCAGAGAGGGGCAAGCCGTCCGTCAGCCCCCAGGCTGGGTGTCTATGAATGGCGGTCAGGGACTTTCTTCCGGAACCATCAGCGGGAGACATTTCCCACCACCCATCGCTGGGGGCTGCCGAGGGCGCCGCGGCCGGAAGGGCCAGGGCCAGGGCGTGGCGGGCGCCAGGGAGGCGTGGGCGGCGGGCTCACCTTCCAGATGCTCGCCTCCTTGCCGTACACCACGGCCATGTTGCTGGCCTTGCCGCCCTTGATGAGCTGCTTCTCCGTCTCGTTGAGCTCCTCGGACACGAAGCCCATGAAGGAGTTGTCCGGGGTGTGGGCTGCAGCCGACACGCGGAAGGGAAGGGGTTACCGAACAGCCGGGGACACGCCCCGGCCCCCCTGAACCGGCCCCTCCGAGGGGTCCCCCTGTGCAGGGGGGCGGGGAAGGGGTGGGACACAGGGGTCTGGTGGGGAGAGAGTGTCCTTTCCCAGAGACCGTCACAAAGCTCGGAGCGGAAGGAAACCCGAGAGGTCATCTCGTCCCCCGGCTCATTTTCAGGTGAGGAGGCTGAGGCCGACTCTGCCCCGCCCACGGCCCCAGGGCCCCAAGCTTCCGCTGCACCTGTGACTCTGCTCCTCTCGCCCTCCACGTGCACCTGTCGCAGAGCCTGCCATCCGGGGGAAGGGATCTTTCCATCTTCTCCACCCCGCACCCTGGCCTGGCGCCGGCTGCCTCCCGTCCCTGTGGCTCTCTTGGGCTAGCCTTTTCTCCCGAGAGGTCCTTCCACATCGAGGCCCTATCCGGTCCCTCCCCTGCACAAAACCCCGCAAGCTGCGTCCCTGCCACAACCTCCAGGCCCCGCGCCCACTTTCCGCCCACCCAGACCCCTGCCTCCATGCAGGTCTCTCCCGACCCGGTCACTTGCTGTCCCCTTGCCTGCTTTATTTTCCGTCACAGCACTCGCCGACCAGATATAAACGCATTTGGTCATTTATAATTGTCAGAACACAAGTCCCCGAGGCAGCAGCTCTGTTCTGTTCACTCCTGTGGCCCCTGCACCTGACACAGCCCGGGCCGGCGGAATGAACTTAAGAAGGAGACGTCTCCCATTCCAGGCCTCTGAGCTTCCGCTCCTGCCGTTCCCTCCCCTGGACTGCCCTCGGGCCTTTTCTTGGTGAGAAAATCCTATTCAGCCTTCAGGGCTCTGCTCACACATCACCTCCTCCCAGAAGTCCTCCCTGGGCCCACGTGCCGCCTCCCCCCACTCCACCACCCACCCCCGTGGCCCCATCTGCTGTGGCCGGGTCTCTGTCAGAGCACAGACCGCACCGGGACTTCCTCGCCCCCCAGAGCCCCACACGCCAGGGCAGGGGATGCGTTTTATCTTGTGCTCCAATTCGGTGGCCATGCTTGGGGCACCGTGACCGATTAGCTCTGCCTGCCGGGGAGGGCGGAGGGCAGCATAGGAGCCATCCATCTGCAAGGCACACGGTCCCGCCCTCTGTGCACTAGGGTCTCCAATCGAACGTTTATTGAATCCAATTATATTTAATCTGCCTTCCTGGTGGAAGAGGCTACAGCGAGAGAGGAGCGTGGTGGCAGCCGCATCATCCTTGACTTCCCGGAACAGTCTGATTCCAAATACCATGTTTCTTCATTTCAGATGCACGTTTTCTACATTTTTAACATGTCCCAAATCGGGATGTGTGTTTTAATCAAATGTATAGTTGTTTTTTGGGCTTGCTGGCTTTCTCTCTCTCTCTCTCTCTCTCTCTCTCTCTCTCTCTCTCTCTCTCTCTCTCCTTTCTTTCTTTTTGAGACAGAATCTCTCTCGTTGCCCCAGGTAGAGTGCAGTGGTGTCATCAAAGCTCACAGCAGCCTCAAACTCCTGGGCTCAAGCAATCCTCCTGCCTCAGCCTCCCAAGTAGCTGGGACTACAGGCATACACCACCATGCCCGGCTAATCTTTTGTATTTTTGGTCAACCAGCTATTTTTTTTTTTTTCTGTTTTTAGTAGAGATGGGGTCTCGCTTTTGCTCAGGCTGGTCTTGAACTCCTGAGCTCAAGCAACCTCCCAGAGTGCTAGAGTTACAGGCGTGAGCCACAGCACCCAGCCAAATGTACAGACTTAAGGTGGTATTTCTAACCACCCCTCACGGCCCACAAAATAATCTGTACCTGGTGCATCTTAGAGGAGATGATGGTTTCCTGTCCAAGTGGCCCTGAAGGCTCACGAATTCTTGTGTCTGAGAATCTGACCACCGTTCGCACCGGCCTTTGCAGGTTGCGGAACAAAACACTCTCTCCTCTAGAGCTCTGGGGGGCTAGCCAGCTCTTTCTGCAGCGGTCAGGGTCGGGACAGTGCTCCATCTCAGGAGGCTCTGCCCCAGCCGGGAGAGGCCCCAGGAGGGCAGAGCAGACCCTCCCTGGCCCTGTTTGCCGACAGCACCGGTCCCCTCTCCCGGACTCTGGCTGCTGCTGGGGCTGTCACCCGGCCTCTCCCTCTCCCTGCCTGTCCCAGTCTCTGCAGCTGAAGAATCCTTCACTCAACTGCCCTTCACTCCAGCACCCTCCCACCAGAAGGGACAGATTTAGAACACAATTAGCTAAGCCAGTGGGAGGGGGACAGGGAAGTATTGCAACCAATTAAAATAACAGCGGTCATTAAGCAAAGAGCTCCTGGGGGCAGAGCCCGGGAAAGGCCAAGAGGGCCAGCCCCTGTTAGCTCCCTGGGGAATCGGCTGCTAGACAGGAAGCACCCCTCCTGGGCTCTGCGCATCATAGAACCGCCAGCCGCCCTCTTCCTTTCCGTCTGCCCTGTCTGCCATTTCTCCCATCAGTTAACATTTTCTGAGGCCCTAGGTTGGCTCCAGAGGGAGTGAGATAAATCAGTCAGGGGCCCCTTTTTGCATAGTTCATAATCTATCAGGGCAAAGAAATGTATAAGCAAATAACCCTTCAATATAGGCTTTTACACAGTTAGGTGTAAATTTATAAAAGTAAGAGCAAAGAGGCCAGACCTTCTGTCTAGAGTAGGAGATGAGGGGGGTCGGTGAGAGTGATGGTAGAGAGAGGAGACATTTGACTTCGGGGTTTTGGAGGATGAGTAGGAGTTTGCCAGTCTGGGAATTCCACATCCAGTGGGCTCCAGCCTGGGACGAGCCCCCATTTTCTCAGTGCAGGTTACGGCAGAGCCTCTTCGGCTCCCCCTCCTCCCCCGGCACCCCCCCGGCCATCCGCGCTCTGCCAGGATAACGCGCCTCAATGAGGATTCTTCTCCGTGACGTGCAAGAACGTCAAGAACCGACGGTAGGTCTCAGATGTGAACTCGGGCACCTTCACTGAAAGACACCTCCCACTCTTCTGCTCCCCAGCCCCTGGGATCCCTTCCGCCAGCCTCAGATCTGTCTGCTTCCCTGCAAGCTGGCTAATTACACCAGGCTCCCAGCTCCCAGCGTTTCCTCTTCCCCAGCCTGGAACACCGGCACCCCCACTTCCTTCCCCTCCAGAAATCCGCTCCGTGTCGCTCTTCGCCCGAGAGGACAATGAGGAATCTCACGTCACCTTGAAAGGGGCCTTGCGGAAGAAGCCTGGGCCCCCACAGAGCTGTGTGACCTCAGGTGGGCCGCTCTACCTCTCTGGGCCTCCGTTTTCTCATCTGGACCCCGTGGGCGCCAGGCACTTTCCCACCTTCCCACCCTTCTGGAATTTAATCAAGCCATCAGTTATTTATTCAAAAACTGCATTTGCTCCTAATGCAGCCCAGACCCTGGAGAATAAGGAAGGAAGGAAGCTCTGAGCACCCGGAAGAGCTGCGGCGAGTTTGACGGGCTAAATAAAGATCACACACTTCACTTACCCCAATGCCCCCGGGACGTTGCTCAGAACCCATTTTGCTCTTAATTTAGACTCGGCCCTAACAAGGCCGCTCATCCGCCTTTTTGGCCTGGAGCCTTCAAAGAGCGTGCAAGGTGCCGCCGGAGGCAGAGGTACTGACGGTAGTTAATAGTGACAGCGAGAGTGTCCCCACAAGGAGGAAAAAGAAGGGGACGCGGCTCCGCACACCTCTGCCGTCCCGGAGGGCCGTGAGACCGAGACCCGACCCGGAGCTGTCCGGGAAAGGCTCAACTGTTTTCAGCGTGCTGCGTTCAGGAGGGTTGGTCGCTGTGTGCATGGGTTTTAGAGCCTCGTTGTAAAAAGCTAAAGCTCGGCTCTGGTGGCGTCCCCGGGCTCCGCCCTCTGCGCCCAGATGTCCACCGAGGGCCCGGCCGCACCTGCGCCTCCCTGCCCGCTGTCCCCAGTGGCGGCGCCTGACCCCTCTCTAGCGTTTCCAGAGTCTCCCGGCTCTGCCCAGCCCGTCTGTCCTGCGCTGTTCTCTCCGCGGGAAAAGGCCTGCCGCCTGCCCTGGCCACCCGCGGACGGACGTGCTCAGCCCCTTGGGAAGGCCCCGGACGTCCCTCTGCTCCGGAGCCGTGCGCCCCGCTGCGTTCCTGGAAGGCGAAGGCCGCGTCCTCTGGTGTTGGGTAGGTCGCCCGCCCAGGTCACCCCTCCGTGCTTCCTGCCCCCCAAAGCCCACAGAGGCTTCCTCTGTCTGCAGCTCCCACACTTGCAGAAAGGGAGAAGGCGGGGCTGAGGGCGTCCCAGTCCGCCCACCGGCGCAGGAAGGAAGGAGAGGGAGGGACGAGCACCCCGACGCATCCTTCCCCCGCCCGACCCCCGCGCCCGCTGGGCACTCACGGAACATGGTCATGAACTGCTTGGGGTTGAGGTTCCAGTAGCCCCAGTTGGTGCGGTAGCCGTGCAGCGTGGCGTACTCCTCGTGGTTGTACGCGGGTTCTGTCCCGAAGGTGTCGATGACCCGGATTCGGCACCTGCCACCCCCCAGCAGGGACCGGGAACCAGGGTCAGCAACCTCCCTGTGTGTCCCTGGGCGGGGGTGTCCCAGCCACGAGCATGGTCACTGTGCAGTGGCCGGGGCAGGCACTGCTGTGTGACCACAGGCAAGCGCCTTCACCTCTCTGCCTCGGCTTCCCCACCTGCCCAGTGGGGATGACAGCAGCCCAGTTATCGCAAGGCCACGGGGGGGGGGTCTTGGCCCGTGGTCCGTGGCTAGTGCTCAGGGACTGTTGGCCATTACCACCACCTGGAGAGAGCCCAGGGAGGGGGTGCTGCTTGGAGTGGGGGGTCCCCAGGGTCACCTATACACCTATACTCCTGGGTGGGGAGTCCACAGCTCCTCTGCTCAGGAGCCTGGCACCCTGGATGTGCCTGGCCTATTGGGACCGGGTGCAGGAAGGCCACTGCCTGCGGGGCTATCTTTGGGGAGCCAGCACCTGCTCTGCAAGGCAGGGGAGACTTCCCAGCTGGGCAGAGGCTTTGAGGTCGAAGCCCAGAGGGGCCTTGTCCCTCTAGCATCAGCCAGCCACACGGTGGCCTCAACTCTGAGGCCACTCTCGATGGGCCACAGAACCTGCCCCTCCGCCCAGCCCACGCCCGGGAAGACGCCCCTGCAGGAAGGCGCTGAGACTCAGGCAGCTCCACAAGAGCTCCCTCACCCCATGTCCCTCCTGGTGACCCAGAATTGTCTGCAGAGTGCTGAAGTCAGCACTGTTCCCCGCCTTGCCCCCCCACGAGGTGCCGGGGGAGGGAGGAGAGATCGCCCAGTGCATAGAGAACGCGCATTAATAATAAAAGCAATAACACTGCCTGTCACTTTTTTCCCTAATAAAATCACGCGGGAGAGTCAATGGGACCAGAGCCCGCGTAATAAATAGCAGGGCGCTCGGTGCTAAATTAAACCCTGCGCCCGCCGGCTGCGGAGAGACAGGGAGCGATGGCATGGCCTTCCTCCAGACCACGAGGCGGTGGGGTTGGGGCAGGGGAGGTGGGGAGTGCGGAGCCAGGCCCCCAGGCCCCCACGGCAGAGGTCACACCCTGCTCCCTGCAATTCCTCGGCCCCCTCCATCTAGGCTACCTCTGACCCCTGCCCCCAGCCTCAGTGCAGCGGGAGGGCAATGGAGCGACGCTCGGCGGTTTGTTAACTATCAGCCGAGCCGGCCGAGATGGAAGTGGCGGGGGAGAGGAAGGGCAGAAGGCAGGAGGACACAGGACAGTGAGTCCTCCCACCCTGGGCCCAGCTGGCAGCCAGGACGTGGGGGCTGGGCGTGTGGCTGGGGGCAGGGGCCACGCCACCACCCTCCCGCCGCACTCTCACCGGTACTTCTTGAAGGAGAGCCCCATGTGCTGCTTCATCTGCTGCAGGCCGTGGTAGTCCGTGTAGATGAGGTCGAAGGGCAGGGGCATGGTGAGCGGGCAGCTCCCCCGGCCTGGCGGCACCCCTAAGTTACTGAGAGAAGAGCCCTTCAGTGTCTGAGCCCAGAGAAACCACCATCCCAGCCAGCCACCCCAGTTCCCAGGATGAACGGGCCGGGGGTGGGGGATAGGGGTAGGGGCATCTGTAACAGTGCAGTGCGCTCAGCAAAGACTCCTGAAAAGGAGGTGAGCAGGATGGTTCTGTACAGTTGTGTAGGTTTTTCACCGCACAAGGGAGTCCAGCAAGGGCCCAGCGGGACTAGAGCCGGCCTGGGCTAGCCTGCCGAGCCCTGCACCTGGCCCGGGCTACCTGCCAGGAGGAAGGGGCACCTTTTGTAATCGCCACAAACGTGCTTGCTGCAGGCTGTGTCTGACCAGAGAGAGGGAGGCATTCCCTAGCTGTCACAAATGCCATAAGTGCTGGTGGCAGTCCTGTTTGTTTGGAGCGGAAGAGTCCCAAATCTCCTGCCCCAGAAGAGTAAGATCCCACTCTGCTGACGGGGCTCCGGCCACCCAGGGCTGGCCCGGGCAGTGAGCTCCTGGAGACTCTGGTGACCTGCTCCGGCCACCGCACAGACTTGAGGGTCCCTGGGACGGGCGTGGGGTGGGGGTGCCCTGCCACTGCCTGCGGGTCATTTACACGCAGGTTTTTATCTAGCACAGGGTGGCCTCTGGTGACCCGGAAGACGCAGCTCGGCCAGAGTGGGGGTGGCTGCCCCTCTGCTCCTTGCCGGGGCCTTTGGGTCATCCCGTCTCACTAGGGCCTGACGGGCACGGCCACGGCCTCGTGGCGTCCTCTAGAATCACATCTGCTCGGTGGCCTCTGGAGAACGGCTCAAGGCTCCCCGTCCCGGCAACCACAGCTGCCAACTTAAACTCCTTTGCGCCCCTGTCCCCTGAATCCATAGGAACCAGCACCTCCTGCCAGCACCCCTGCTCAGCCCGACCGCCCAGCCCCTGTTCCTCCCTGCAGAGGGTGGAGGCTCTGGGTCACCCGTTCAGTGAGTCTGTGCTGAGCCCCGGCAGGTGGGGAGGGGGCGCCTGCCGCAGAGAGGGCCCCTCCCACCTTCCTGTCCCCACCACCCCACCAGAGGAGGAAGCGGGGGGCTCAGAACTGACCAGTTCTGGGTCCAGCGCCTACTCCCCAAACACACCCCCGGCCCGCCCCCATCCTCACGTTCGTTGGTTCTGTTTAACACATGTTTCCTGAGCACCTACTGGGCGCCAGGCCCTGTGCCCCACACTGGGGACATGGAGACACACGGGAGGTAGCCCCAGCCCCAGGAGCACGAGAGCGGGGTGAAGAGTGTGTGCCCCGGGTGCTGCCATGGTGACGTGACCTCCAAGTCTCCCTTCGGGGGCAGGTGGCATGCAGGACGCAACCTGAGAGGTGTGACCCGCTGAGCGGTGGGCACAGAGGGGCGAGGAGCCAGGCGGCCAGCAGAGAAAGCAGCGAGCCCAGCCTCATCTTCCTCTCTCATCAGCTCTTGGCGGGCAGAAAGTGTCACCTACGGGGCTGCCGTGCCCACCTGTGCTTCTGGCCCAGAGGGGAGGCACCGGGCCATCAGGCCCCCCACACCTGCGGGCTTTGTGGTTCAGATGCCAGCGCGGGAAGAGGTCCAAGAGACCTCCCAGCGAGCCCCTCCTGGGACCCGCATGATGAACAAACTCAGCCCACAGAGGTGACAGCTTTGACGAGGCACCAGCTCGTTAATGGCAAAGGGCCACGATCGATCTGTTCTCTGGGTAACGTCTCAGGCTCCCTGAAACCACCGAAGCCAGAGGGAAAGCTCCCGCCTGAAGGGCTCAAGCTCCCTTCGCCTGCTCAGAAGCTCAGGGGAGGGGTCTGTGCACGCTGTCCCCTCAGTGCACCGTCCAAAGTGGCACCTTTCCCACCAGGCTCATGGTCACCTATGGGCAGGGCTGCGATGCCAAGAGGGCGGGGAGCTGCAGGACAGGGGCCACCAGTGACCTGCAGAGAAGGGAGGTGAGAGTGGTGGCGGCACCATGGGGGGGTTCTCCGTGCTAGCCCCCCGCGGCCACTGTCCCCAACCTCACCGAGCCGCCCCCACCACGCCAGAGCCTGTGCTGCTGAGTGTGGAGAGGGGAATGCGAAAATCTGATAACCGTTTCCTCCTCCTTCCTTGTTTATAAACTTAAAAATGGCCCCAGGCTCCCCCCGCCCTCCCAGCCAGGGCTTCAGGGGTGGCGCCTCCCCGCTCGCTCTTCTGCTGGAACACGAGCAGCGGGCAGCGAGCACAGACTGGGGTCTGCAGCATCTCCAGCCCCCCGCCTGGAGCCACTGCATGAAATATTTGCTGGTGTTTCCAAGGGTCGAGCGCATTCTGCGTTCTACCCCGCAGACACGGCAGCGGTTCTCTCTGCAGATTGAGAGCCACAAAAAAAGGATAAAAGTGGACTCCTCTATCCCTCCTTGCAGAGACGGGAGAGGGGGAGGCTGCTCCCCCCACATGGAATCGGGATCGGGTAAAATTAAGACGATTCTGAAAATCTAACTGTAGGTGGGTCTCGGAGCTGCCACCTACACCGGGAACAGGATTGCCTTTCCTGCACGTTCCCGGTCGGTTTCCAGGCAACGTGTCATCCCTGGGTCCCAGGGGCTTCCTTCTGTCACCCCACCGCTGCCCACACCCCTGACCCTAGCTGCAGACGCCAGGGCCACCGAGAGGGAGGACCCTGCATTGACGGCTGAGCCCACCCTGTGCGGGGCCCATCTGGGCAGCCAGGCTCCGCTGCGATGAACACCCCTAAACCTGAGCTTGGGGGCGCCTTGCTGGGCTGTGGCTTCGCACGCCACACCCCTGCTCAGTGCGAAGTCAAAGTCTTGACGAAACCAGAAGAAAAGGGAAGAATATTAACGGGCAGGGGATAAGGAAGCCACCTCGTGATGGCAGCTGTCACCAGCATCCGGCTACAACAGGTGAGACGGGACGCCGCCAGTGCCCATCACAGGGAGGCCAGGTGCAGCAGAAGCCACCCTCGCCAAACCCTCCTCGGTCCCACCACACTTTGCACGATACGGCGCCTTGCCGTGACGGAAACTGTCCCTGAGCCTAGAAGACGCTCCTCACCCCCAGATCCCTGAGGGAGCCTTACCTGAGACCCCCCTCCCCTGCGCTCCCTGCCCGCCTGGACACACCTGGTGACTGTCCCGAGTGACCTCCTCCCAACTGGGGCCCCTTGAGGCCAGTGTGAGCTCATCTGTAAAATTTCAGGGCCGCGGACAGGATGTGGCCTCGTAAACGTCTGTCGTGTTCATGAAGGAATAAACGCACCAACAGATCGGGCGAACCCCTCGGAAAGAATTGGTTTAAACGTGTAACATTCGGTCAGGAAAAGCGTATCTGGAGAGAGAACGTGGGTGGGTGCAGAAAGCCCAGGGGCGAGGGTGCTGTCACGGCCCCTCGGGCTCTGGGTGCTTCGGTCACTGGCCTGCCCTCGGGGCTTGGGCGCAGGGGCATCACATGACTGGAAAGGACACTGCAGCGGGAAGGAGGTGGGAGACAGACAGGCCGAGACAGCAGCATCCGCCTTCCAGGGGGAGCTAATGAGAAGCCCGGGGTCTCCCACCCCAGGAAACAGGGACTGCCAGCTTGAGGGCAGGACTCCACTGGAGACAGCGTCCACAGCCGCCTCTTGTCGGAAGGAATCTGAGCTTCGCCCCGGGGACAGCAGAGGGGGTCAGCCACAGGGGAGAGTGGGCTGCAGTTTTATCACCTGTAATTCAAGTTTACTTTATGGGCAATTTTACACTAAGTGGGTGGTTGGAGCAGTGACATGAATTGGAAACGCCGCCTCCCGGCGACCTTCAGCCAAAGGTGCCCGGGGAGGCTCGGCTGTGCAATTCCACCTTTCCTGCTGACTCCTCAAAAGGCTCCTGCCCAGGCGTTCCGCACTTCCAATGCCAAGTTCTCGTTTCTCCCGGACTCTTGGCTCAGGGCCGCTCAGCATCCTCCACGGACGGGGGAGGGGGAGGGCGACGGGGTCTCAGCAGCTGGAGGCACCTGAAATGCCTGCACCGAGCACCCCCATCCGCCCACTGCCCATGCCCAGTGTCCGGGAAGGGGACTGCAGAACTGGGTGGCCAGAATACATTTCTGCATGTCCTCAGGCTGTGGCAGCGGGAGTCCAAACACCAGGATGAAAGGAGTAGGGGGCGGGTGGTCCAGGGAAATGAGGCATTTCTACAGGTCGCCTGGCTATAGTCTCCCCGAATTAATCCACACAGAAAAGCCACCTTCTAGGGGAGGGAGCAAGAGGGAGTTATTGGCTAATGGGGACAGGTTTTCGTTTTGCAAGAAGAGTTCTGGAGGTGGATGGTGCTGGTGGTGACACAACAATGTGAATGCACTTTGCTGCCGAACTGTGCTCTTAAAAATGGCTAAGATGGCAAATTTTATGTGCATCTTATGACAACTTAAAAAAAACAGCCAACCCATCCACGGTCCTGGCTCCCCTGCCCAGCGCTCCGCCTCCCCTGCCTCCCCACCCAGGCGCTGAGGTCCGTCTTCTGCAGCCGCTCCGCCCCCACAGTCACCTGGGACTTGCACAGACAACCTAGGGGCTCTGCGAGTATCTGGGAAAGGATCGACTCAGTCACTCTCTGCTAAAAGATCAAAGAGTAGGATGGGTAGATGGGATGGAGGAGGAGGAAAAAGATTCTATGCTCAAGAGAAAAAACCTGCAGCTAGGAGTCAAAATGCTGAATTCTGGTGCAAGGAAAACGTCCCCGGGCGTGAGCTCCCGCACGGATTTGCCGGGTAGCCGTGCACCAAGCAGAACGCGCTCTGGCATCTGCTCCGCATGTGCGACACGTGCTCGGGCCAATCCACACGGTCTCTTCTCAGCTAAAAATTCTCCGGTTCTATTTCTCTCTGTGCCTTTGGCCTGTGGCTAGAAATAATCTCTCCAGGTAGTGTTCAGAGTCTGGAACAAACTCTTCTCTCTCTTTCTCTGTGTGGGAAGGACCTAATTAAAAAGAATCCCTACAAAGTGCTCACAGATCTTTGGCGG